CAGGCCCTTCCCTCTACGGCAATAATGAAGAAACCCAGGCCCAGGAAAGTCAAGGGCATTTCTCTGAAGTTACGCAGCATGGAAGCGTCAGTCCAAGGCCAGAACTCCTATTTCTGTAGGAGTCTGTTCCTATAGGAGTCTACAGGAGTCTGCAGCTCAGCACTGTTGGGGTGGGTGACCCCCTGTGGTAATGTACAACGAAGAGCTAAGCAAAGTGCATGCATGAGGGTCATTCCTCTCTGCCAGAAATCCGTCACAGAACCTTCGGGGCAGCTTTACCCATTAGACGTGATCCTGCCCAACCAGCCACTTCACCAACGGAATAGAAAAACCTGAGATCCATAGAAAACCAACTTGTCCACAACCACACAACCCGATGCTGGCGCTGGCCAGCCTGGAATCTGAAGCCTGTGGCTCTAAGTCTCCGGTTCTCTTCGCTATACCACGCCGCCTCTCTTCCAGGATGGAAAGTGAATAATTTAATAATAACACAAGATGAGGTTACGTAGCCCATATACCGAACCAGTTCTAGGAATTCTGTCTCAACCGTTTAACTGAAAGTCAAAAAAGGCCAAGAATATTCTGGAACCGCTATATTACACAGCACGATGGCTTGGCATCCAAACTCTACATTTTTACCTATTTGAGCTTCTTTCCCTTTGCTTCATGACACTCCACCTGTTGACTGCATTTCTTGGCGGGGACTGGGACAGGAGTCTGGCTTTTCAGACTAAACCTGACCAAACACCTGCTTCTTCAAACTCCTCCCATCCCTCATGGTTTAAGTTCAGATCATCTACCCTCTGGTATCAAAAGCCAAATGAGGAACAATTTTTTTTTTTTTTTTTAAACAAGAGAACCTTCTCTAAGGACAGCTCAGTGTGACACTGTGAAGATCAGTCGGCTCACAAGTTCTGCTGCATTTTAGGGGCTGCCTTCTCAGCTCAAGTGTAGAGTCAAAATGAATGGAAGTCATCTGTCATCAACTTACTGGGCAAATGTGACATTCTCCTATTTGAAGTACAGCTTTATGGTCTTCAGCATAATATTATTACTGAGTATTTATTTCATGGCCTCATCTACCTGTGATTCTAAGACACGATGTAGGAAGACAACCAGAAAACTATGTCCAGGGCCCCAGGTTATAAATCCCCTGCGTTTGCCCTTGCATTCGCCCAAGTCTCAGGAGATTTAAAAAAAAAAAAAAAACAGTCACACCCAAGATTTCTTCTGATCCTTACAGCAGTGTAATGGAGTGGCCATTCTGCTCATCACTTAGCACATGAGCTAACTGAACTCAAAGGATAAAGGGCCTTGAGCAAAGTCTACGCAGAAAAAGTTGGACCTGTCTAAAGTTGCCCAGCCCTCCAAGTGCATTGGCTGGAAGGAGGCACTCAACAGCTAGCTGGGATGAGGGACAGGAGAGAGGGAAAGTGGGTGCATAGACACTCAGCATGGTTTTACCAAAATCTCTGCATTTTGCTCCAGCCACGTACAGCTGGTGTCCTTTCTGTGGCACCACGGTCTCATGGGGGAAAAAGGTGCCCTCAAAAATCTGTGAACCGCGTAGTCTTGGAACTAGCTTACAATCCAAACAATGCTGTGGGGCAACAAGACCATATCTCTGACCAGAAGAGTTCAACCACCTCTCTCCATTTGCTTTGGTGCAAATAAGTTAACTGGGAAATGCGGAGAGGCAGGATTTTCTGCAAACAGCTTCGGCATTTTCTGATAAGTATCTTGAGTTTGAAAGGGAGATGGGCTCCAGTCACGTTCACTGAGAACGAAGCATCTACCCAAATCGACTTCATGGTGCATCTCAGAGCGTCCTCCTTAACACACAGTCTCCTCACCGGTGAAATGGAGATTATCTCTTCATGACGGTTACAGCGAAGAGTACACACACTTATATTAAGAAGAGGCTAACAAAACTGAGAAAGACAGTAGATGCCCCTCCCTTCTTGCCTGGGAACAGCCTCTGCTGGTCTCTTGTCACCTGGCACACCAGAACCCATGCTTGAAAAACAGGAGGCGGGACATATTATGTAATTGAAAGGAAACAAAATCAATTTCAGAAAGACTAGCACACCAAGATTCAGAACTGTATTTATCAAAGCAATTAGCTGGCAAAGACAGCTGTTCAATGGGAGGTCAACTCCCTTTGGGGTTCTCGGACACCAGATTCTTTTGGCCTTCAAACAAGAGTGGACTTTTGTTTTTTGCGAAGAATTTCACATTCCAAGAAGGTATGTGAAACAAGTTCGACTGCTTGCATATTTCCACTCAAATAACACTTATGTAGCACATCAGCTTTTATTTTTTCCAGATACAAGGAGATGAAGCTTGGTATATATTCCTGTGAGAGAATAAACAGAAAACTATGTTTCTCTTTTTTACTATATTAGTGCCCTGTAATCCAGACCATATGATCAATAAACCATATAAAAATTAAATCACACTGACAGTCTTAGGCAAAAAGTGAACCAAGAAGAAATAATTTTTTTTTTAGGACTGTTGTGTAGGGCATATTAAAATCACATGTTGTGTTATTAATTTTCTCTTGGAAGCCAGTTCTCCCGCATAAATTTCTCAAGTATTTATCTTACACTTTTTCCTATTAAAGGTAGGTGAGGCATTAAATTAGTGATGTTATATTTCGGTCTTTGCATAGGGGAGACACTGACCATAAGTCACTTTGAAAATGACTTCGTTGGCATGTTTGTTTGTTTGTTTGTTTTAATAGCAAGGCAAATACCCTTTAAATACCCTTCTGTGACTCAGAAGACAATGCAGGGTCCAGGTATCACCTTTTTGAGGTAAAAAAAATTCATTTATTCCAACAGACCAACTGTGAGTAAACATAATCAATAGCTAGGTAGAGAATATTAGCTTTGGGGGGACACAGGGAGAGTTGGGGCAGATGAAGTGAAATGTGCAAACATCCACCTTACTGGCACCTTCACAGCACAACACTGTCCTCAGTTAAACTATAGCTAATAGGTGTGTCTTCCTGCAAATTCCTTCACACTTCTTTTCCCTTTAACAAGAATGCACCATGTCTCAGGACTGCTTTCTGAATTCAGAAGAGTGGAAGAGGGGAGGAGAACAATGAAACTGTACAAAGGCTGACAGGCTTGTTCTAGCTTTGCTTTCCTAATCACAAAGTAGGAGGTAGGAGGGTACTCAGCACAGGCCGAATGGGAAGAGTTTACCCTACCACCAACAAAACACACCAGTAAACACTGGGAGGCCCCAGACAAGTTTACAGCAAACAACTTCAATGTGTTTAGTGTTCTCCTTGTACTCCCCCAGGACCAGGGAGGGCCTTTTAAAAAGTCAATAGCTTGGCAGCAGACTTTAAATACTAATCTTCCCACTGTGCAGGATAATAAGCCAGCAGCCCACAGGAAGGCAGGCCCCCCAGTGACAATTCCTTTACATAGCATCTAAACCTCCAATTTCTATGAAGAGGTGGGAAGCGGATTTGCCACCTGAACTAGTCCATCTCTCTTCCCTTCCACAGAACACAATTTTACCCACAGCTGTCTCTCTGTACCTAAAAGGAAGAATTCTTATGTTTTAATAATTCTAGGTGTCCCATCTTCTTTTGACTCCCAAACTTACTAGGGATGTTCAAGCCCAGGGCAGACGGACCTCAGTGAGGACCGTGCTGCAGAAAAGAGTCATAAAACACAAGAGAAGTGTAACTCCAGCCCACTAAGTCTCTGGTTCGCACAATCTGCACGGACAAATCCATTAAAAAGGGGACTTACGTCTCTGTGCAGGAGTTCTATTTTAAGGGAACTGACTTGGGAACACAGATGTTTCTTCAGTTAGCAGAGCTGGCAGAACAGCTCCTGGACCAAATCCGAGTTCTTAATGCAGGAAGGGGCCTTAAGAGAGCATCTAATTCAACCCACTCACTCAACTGATGAGGAAACTGAGGCCCAGAAGGCAAGCGGGTGGCACGCCCAGCAAGTGGCAGGGTAGCAATGTTCTGATGACAAGTCCTGTGCCCTTTCCATTACACCATTAATCGTTTAAAAAAAAAAAATCTACTCTGACTTCAACCTTGGAACTCCTGTAGCTTCATGTCAATAGCTTTCTCCCTGCCCCCGCCAAGTTCATAAATCCTCCTCACTCCCCGATCAATTTTTTTTTTTTTTTTTTTTTTTTTTTTTTTTTAGCGCCCACCGCACTTCGGGCTGGGGCATCCAACTAGTTTGGAAAACAGAAATGGACCATCACCTTAACTTTCTGGGATGGCAGTTAATCGTGGTCCCCAAACATGATCTTGATCTTGGATTGCTCTCCCAGCGCCTCAGTTTTCTAATCGGTGAAATGGAGCTCCTCACCTACCCTGCACGGAGTCAGGGCAAGGGCTGGTTGAAACCGTGTCCGTGGCACAGCGTACCGCCGGTACACAGTAGGCGCCTAACAAGTGGCAGTTTAGTGGGTGCCCGCGTCAAGCCCCTGGGGCGAAGCTCCCAGCCCCCCGGGGGGCGTGCGGGGTGGGGGTGAGAAGAGGAGCCGGGGAAAGGCCAGCTCGAGTTCGGCCGGGACGAGGAGGCGGGAGCGGAAGGGTTGGGTGTTTACACACGGCCAGCGAGGAGGCAGCGCGGCTGCAGGCAGGGGCCCGGCGCCCCAGGAGATCCATCTTACTTGGACGGGGGGCACCAAGCTCCGCGCAGGCTCTGGGTCACGGTTCCGCCCACCGCCCTGCGCTAAGAGGCCGAACCCACACCTTCCGCGGGACGGTGCCTGCGCCTCCCGCCGGAGGCGGCTTCTAAGGGGCCGGGCTCCGGTGGCCCGGGAGAGCCTGCGCGCGCCCCACGCCCGCTTCCAGGCCGAGAAGTCGGCAGCCTGGGGAAGGGCGGGCGCTGGGGCTCGGTGCTGCGCGAGGGCTCCGGGACAGGGCTGCCCCCTACCCCCACCCCCACCCCAGGGGCTGACGGCGCGGGGGCGCGAGGCCGGGGCTGGGGGCCGGGGTCCGGGCTCACCCATGAAGAGGCAGAAGAGGTCGAGGCAGATGAGCAGCACCCGCTTGCTGCCGCCCTTCCGCGGGTTGTTGTTGAGCGCCGGGCTGCCCCCGTTCTTGCTCTCCGGAGCGATCGCCTTGTCGTACTTGTAGTTTTGCATGGCGCTGGCTGCGGCGCGAGCCTTCGGCCCCGCGAAGACGCCCGGCGGCGGCAGCCACACACCCGCGCGCCCGGCCCGCCTCCCGGCCGCGGCTGCTGCTGGACGCTGAGGCTCGGCCCCCCGCTCGCGGCGCGGCGCGGCGGCGACGGTGCAGCCCGCCGCGCGCTTCCCGCTGCAGCCCGGGCTGTTCTCTGCTCCGCGCTGCTCCTCTGCGCTCCTCTCTCAGCCCCACAGCGTCCGAGAGTCCAGGGGGCGGAGAGCCGGCGGCCGCGCAGACACTGCTGCGGAGCTGGGCTGCGCGGGGCGCGCGGGGCTGGCGCGTGTCCGGCTGCTGGAGCGGGTGAGTGGGCAGCGCGGGCGCTCGGCCACCTTCCTGGGCCGCTGCTTACTTAATGAATGGGAGCCGCTCCGAGCCCCGCCGCCCCGCAGCGCCTGCCCCAACTACGACTTTTCCTCCTCCTCTTCCTCCTCCTCCTCCTCCTCCTGCTGCCGCCGCGGCTGCTGTTGTGGTCGCCTGGGTTTGTTTCTGCACTTTTATTGCACGAGGTCCTTTTAAAAAGAGAGAGAGCGAGACAGACAGAGGCAAAGAGAGGGACCTCCTTACTTGGCTCTGAAGAGATCACGAAAGCACAGCCCCTTCCTTAAGCTGCCTAAGACGTAGGATAATTAAGGCCACATTTTCCCCCACCCCCTTCAAAAAAAAAAAAAAAAATCCTAAAAGGAAAAGTTACTCTCAAACCAGAGAATCCGGGAGCCCCTAGCGTTCAGAAACACCAAGTTGTCACAACAAAAGAAAACTATATAAATAAAAAGAAACACTTTCTTGCTGGCCTTGGGTCGGGCAAAAGTTGAGGCTGTAGAGCGAACATGCGTTCTCCTCCCTTACAGATTTGGGGCTCTCAAGTATTTATTTCGCTTTGAATCGTATTATCCTGAAAATACTCAGGGAAAAACACCCAGCACCAGATACTGGGCTGGAGTCTGAGAATTTGAACTTGAGAGAAGAGTCTGGAGCCAGACCTTGTAGATTTGAATTCCCGCAGATGACTCAGTGCCTCAGTTTCTCTATATGTAAATGGAGATGTTAATTGTTTCTCCTAAATACAGTAATTGTGAAGACTGAATTAGTTAATCCATGTAAACATCTACTGATACATACAAGTGCTAGGTAAGGGTTAGCTGTGACCTTTATACCTGTTTCTGAGGTGAAGGCATCCCAAGCCCTCAGCCTTTCTGCTGGTTGGGGGGGGAGGGTGTTAAGCCTGCCTGTACCACTATTGGGGAGCGGGTGTCAGGACAGCAGGAGTGCTCTCTGGAGGTATCATCTTCAGCTTGAGTTCTGGGGTAATCTAATGCTTTGCTTTAGAAGCTGTAATATTATTTTACATTATTTATGTGAGTTCATCTTTCTTCTAGACAGAAGGCTATATAAACATTCCCAAGGCATGGGTTTTCCCATGTATCTTCTATAGTGCCAAGCAGAGAACTGGGCACCCAGTGGGCAATAAATGGATATTTATTCCAGGTGTCTCTTTTAATGCATCCAGAAATAGACACAGCTGTAGCTTTTTGATACTTTTACAGTGACTTGTTATGGGGTTCAGTAACCGCTATATCCAGACACCATCAACCACTTGTCCTTTCTGGAACACTCCTTTGACACTTGACACCCCTGCCTTCCTACTCCCTCTACTTATATCGCACCTCTATCCCTTCTCTAGCTAGCAAAATGCTTCTCTTGCTTTAGAGTGCCCTGAAATGTCACCTTCTCTTTGAGCTGTTCCTTGACCCTCGGACAGAATTAACTTCAACACTTTGTTTAGAACACTCTTGAGGCACTTATCGCAGTCTGATTTGGCATTATAGTTAGTAAAACTAGTCAGCTCTGTGGATTATCAGCTCTGCAGCATCTCCCCAGTACCCAGCACAGGGTTTGGTGTCTGTTGAATGAAGCTCAAGTCCAGACTGACAACAAATGGGGTTGGCAACGAAAGGTAACATCGCTGTCTTCGGAAATCTCCAAGACTGTTCTGCAGCTGGGGCATCGAATGCCTGTCAGACACTGCCCTCTCATTTCAAAGAGCAGCAGGTAAAACCAAGCCAGGATAACTAAGAGAACAAATTCCTTAGACAGCTTTTCAGTGAGAAATATCCCTGGAAAACTTAAAATAGCAGAAACAATACAATATGATTATTGACATTTTGAAAGGAATTCAGGGATTCCAGCGTCTTTCCCTTGCCCACCCAACCCTCTTTGTAATTATATTCATCCTCGAAATTCTAAGTCAGCAAACCCTATTTGTGGAACTTTAAGCTCAAAGTCAATGCCAGTCTTGAAACTGCAGATCCCTCTCACCTCCCCACTTCCTTGGACACCTGTGCCCCTCAGGCGGCTGCTTCTTTTCCATGATAAACTACTCTGTTCTATCATTAGAATTTTAGCATTACCTCCCTTTACATTTCCTGTCTGCTCTTCCTTATCTGTGAAATGACTTTTATTCATTTAAGAATAAACATTTTTAGAAGCCAGGCTTTTACTCTGGCTAAATGGTATTACAACTCCTCAATCTTGTTGGTCCCTAAAGCCATTGGGTAATACTGTTAATTTTTGCTGGCACTAGATTGAATGCCAGGAACCTAATATTCAGGTCCTCAGGATTGAACTCAGCCACTTAATAGGAAGACTAAAGTCTGGTGTTCCAGGAGCAGATAAGAGGGAAAATTAATGGATGTTTAAATAAGTTTTATATTTCCATTCACAGGGCTCTGTGGGCTGTTTTTGTTTTTGTTTTTTTTTTCACAACAAAAAGATTATAGTGTTAATCGATGCATGTAGTTGCATGCAAACAAGTATTATATATGAATGACTCTTCAAGGGAAGAGAATACTACAGATACTCATTAAATGGACTTGAACAAATCATAAGCACATTGTCAATATCATTCTTCAGATAATAGGAAGTTAAACCACCCAACCAGACATGGAAACGGGAAGGCCTCTTTGCTTTAACCCTTAAAAGGAACAATCTAACTAGCAGGTTAAATTCAATGGAACAGACTCCGTAGTTAAAATGGTGTCATTTCAAAGTAATTACGTAATTAAAATTCCTACTAAACATAGCTGACCAAAATTCACACCTGAGAATGGCATCCAGTTCACTAAACTAGTCTGTAGAAAAACTGTAACATCAGCGGGGATAAATGCCTTTTTAAGTCTAACTTATTATGTGTGGTAACAACAGCACATCATTCTTAAACAATGGATACCTCCCAAGAGACTTAAATGGCTTTCATTTCTAAGATCTCTTGTTACCTCATAATTTTATTTCTCTTTCTCTTTAACCCCTAACATTTAATAATTAATCATTTTTTATTTTTTGAAAAGGCCTGAATTGGCTCTGGAAATATTTAGGGGAAAGGTAACTGAGTGCCTTTCCGGGAAAATGATAGTCCAAAGGTCAGAGCAAGCCATGGAAATTCACACAAGACAGATAAGTTTCAGCTCTGAAGTCCCCATTTATCCAGTTCCCTTAAAACCAGTACACTCCACCTCTGGTTTATACTCAACAAAAATTGCTAGCTTGCTTCTGTAAGGGCAGATGCAGTATCGGGAGTGCTTCATAGGAGTGACTAAAAGCCTCCACAGTAATGCGCCTAAGAAAAGACAGGAAGGAGCCGGGATTTGAAGTCTATATCTTGAGTCACTGTTTGACCTGAGGCAAGCTGAGCAACTTCTCTGAATCTCACTTTTCTCAACTTTTAATTTCAATTTTCCTTAAATCTCAATTTAATTTCAATTTCTCTCTGATTCTGAGGACCAAAACACTGAAAATGAAAGAACACATTTTTAAAATACTAGCTACAAAATAGGCAGTTGACAAGTGTTAGTTGAATGTTAAGATTTTAAGGGAAGACATTTATTTCTACAATATACTTAATTTAAATGCAGATATTCAAGAAGTGTTTATCAACTAACTCTGCATATACCATTTAATTTTATTTATCCTTCTCTAAATGCAGTGATACCTTGAGCTTCTTTATTCCTCTTTTTTAAATGTGCAATTTCCTGAGATTCTGAAGTAAATCAAACATGCTTATTTCTTTAAAAACTACTTAGTTACATGTTGCTTCCTTTAGGATTGTTTGTGAAACTCGAGAAAAGCCATTTGCTTAAACTAATAATCTTGTACAAGTGAGAGTACGTTCATTTTAAATGCACTTTCACATCTATTATCTTATTTTAATCCTTACAGCTCACTGAAGTAGGTGGGGTTGCTTTCATTAGCCCATTTTATAGATGAGAAAACCGAGGCAAGCCCATTTAACTGGCTAGAACTGGTTTTCCCCGTTGGCAAAATGGAAATGATTCTAACCTTAGCTCATGCCGTATAAAATAGAGCCCTTTACAGTTTCTTAAGGTATTTACATTCACAGATCTCATTTCAAGTAGGTAAGACAGAGATTGCTATCATTGTTTTAGGAATAAGGATGCTGAATTCTAGAAAGAAAGGAACTTAGCTTAAAGTTAGAGGTAAGGAGATTCCTTGAAGCATCCCTGGAATCCCAGTTCTCTTCATTTTTAAACCAAGATTCTTTTCTTTATGCCACAAGGTCTTACCCTCAAAGGTGCCCAGAACTTCCTGTTTCTCAGCAATGGTTTCACAGAGTAAGTTAGAAGGACTGCAGAATTAACCTCCTGTCTTTATTTAGAAAACAGAGAAGTTTGATTTTGTTTTGTCTTTTCTTACAGACTTGGAAAGGAACAACATTGTTGCACCTTGTGTAGCAGAAATGGAAGAGATTTGCTCATTATTTGCCAAGCACTTATTTGTTACAAAGCCAGAGTGTTAAGAACACAAAACAGTGTGGTACTGTAAGGCAGCCAGGTAAATGTCAGTATTTTTATCTTTTTACAAACATTCAACTTTTCCTTAGCTAGAAATTAGGGCAGCTAAGAAGTAGACTTATAATGATTCGGTTAATGTTGGTATTTAAAATAACAGAATCTAGAATGGATGGAGGAACTTGCAGAGAAGTTGCCCAGTTTGTCTCTAGAATGTGCAAAGCTAGTGTGGCTGATGGCTCAAAAGGAGACTGATGCTGCCACCTTGTGTCAATGTCAAAAAATGCTATGATTCCCAAACTGAAATTGTCATCAATGGGGCATGGGAAATGGCTGGAAAGGGAATCCAGAATCTATGTATGAAATGATACCAGTCAACAATTAGAGATTTTCGTGATCCAGGGATTGGTCATTCATGTGACAGATGTGTTTAATGGGTATCTAGTATGTATCAAACACTCTTCTAGAAGCAATAAACCAAGCAGACAAAAATTCCTGCCTTCATGGAGCTTTTTGGGCCTCTGATTATTTTACAAGTATGCGCTCATTTAATATTCTAAACAACTGTACGAGGAAAGTTTTCCCATTTTATGGATGAGGTTACTGGGGCACGGGAAGATTCAGTAACTGGTCTAAGGTTACGCAGCTATTGGGTGATAGAGCTTGGATTTGAACAGAGGCAGTCTACTACAAGAACCACCAGGACTTTAACCATGAATCTTTACTGCATGAACTTTGTCCTCTGACTAATGTACAAGAGATTAGTGGTTGCCCAAGAGGCATTTTAGCTTGTATGTCTGGAAGGAAGAGGTCGAAGTTTGT